GTTCGCCTTCCCCCAGCGCCCCACCCGTCTCTATAGGCATTTTTCATCTAACGCTCATTTTCGATTGTTTCAACGCATATTTTCCGAAGTCACGGTGAAACAACACTTTTGAGTTTACCAAACTCGCATTACGCACACGCAATTTGTTACGTTTTATTCGTTAATATAGTCGCAAAATTCCCATCGGTGTGTAACTCTATATCCCTGGGCGCGCGACAATAAAAAGCGCAATCATTTTGACGGCGCCCATTACAACTCTTTCGTTGAATGAACTGTGCGTGGTATAAATTACATTATAAATTTCAACTCGGACGCATGCGTTAGTGACCAGCGAAAAAATCGTATTAAGGGTCGGCCGATTGTGATTTAAACGGCTAACCCCCACTAAAGGGCGGGGGAGTCATCCATCATACGCTTTACATATGTTTGAATAAAGCTCGTGGGAAAAGGATTTCCTCTCTGAAGTCAATGCGGTATTCTCTACGATTCGGCTGACCAAAAATTCGGCGTGATTAAGACAGTCCTATTCTTTATTAATATAAAATCTTTATCTAGCAATAGTCTCATTTTTTAGGCTGTTCTTCCACTTCCACCGAGTTAATTAGAAAGAAAAATAGTTTTCTCTATGTAGCTGTTATTTTTGTTGTTATTGATATTACAATTAAACTTAATTATAGTATATTCACAATTTCTTTTATTTTTTACGTTTCATTTCATTTCAAATGTGAAAAGGTAAATAATCTATAGAATTTTGGGATATCTTAAAAGCATTATATAGATCTATATTACTTACATGGGTAAACTATAATTAGACTATTTAAATTAATTTTCTACAAATGTATCTAATGTGAATGGGTATACTTTTAATTTTATATAGACTTTGCTGTGCTTTCATTTTGCCATGTTGTTTATTAATTATAATATTAATATTAAACAGTCAAATGCACATATCTAAGTTCACAAAATTAATTCCTATTTCCAACTCGACATTGTAGTCGTCCTACACTACAAATAGCTGGATTAGGGCAGTTTGGCAAACAAGGCGTCGCCGTCGTGTGCCGGCACCCTTACGTCTAATGCCATATTAATGTATATTACGAGGCTCATTGTTCGTTGCTCCATGAGCTGATGATGTATCCAGATTTAAAGCTAATGCGATATAACTCCACTATTGTCGGTACGACAACTCATTTGTAGAGTCAAGTGTGTTTTTTTTGTAAATCATACACTTATTATTATTTATTGCGCGTTCAATATAATTTGCATTTTGAGACCTAGCCTAAGCTTCATTAACTATAACTTTCTTTTTTTTAAGATAGCTCTTTAAATTATATGTCCCATTCCATCACACCACCTAGTAGTTTAGTCTAATACAAATGTAGATGCAGATTGAATAACTGAAGTTATCTCTTTATTGCCCTTTCATAGCTAACCTTGGAAGATGCAAAGCCGTGAACCAAAGCGATATATATCCATAATTGTATAGGGTCGCTTATCTAAATACCCATGCGTTTCTCCCCTTAAGTGTAGACAATTCTATTGCATACAAATAACCTCGATTTATATATAACAAAAAATTACTAAAAGTTTACAATAAGTAAACATCATGAACTCTTAAAGTTCGCCAATTTGGGATTTTATAATAAATAATTAGAAAGAATAGATTAATGAAATATTCATTAAAACCAACACAAAAAAGAGTAATACAGTCCAATTAAATCCCCTTATATCTATTTGTAAATTCAAAAAATTGATCAGATATAACATTTAATATATCAAAGTTAACAATAATTGAAATATCTTTATTTGATTTAGCACTTGTACCAATATTCAAAATACATTGGGTTCGTGGTATTTTGGCGGGAAAAGAGCATTCTCCGGTTCTTATCAATTGCTTGCTGTCTCAACCTCATTGTCTTTACAGACATTTTACCACCTGCTGTAGAAACACTAACATGACACAGTAATTCGTGAATCAATCCAGAACTGTTCCTTTCTACTAGACACCAAATATGGTATAAGTTACAACAAATATTTTTAAACTCACTTCGGATGTAAAGCAACTTTCACAATGGCCGTTCAAAGATGGGGTCCAAAAATTTATTATCTTGAGCTTTTTTCGGAAGGCAAGATAAGCCGTTGGTCTCGGCTGCATCTGCAGTTTTTAACATCCAATTCACAGTGGGTTCACATAGTAAGTCATACATGGCCAATTCTCCCTATTCGGTTCAATTCGATTTCATCTATGGAGCTCTATGCCCAAGCAGTGGGGACATCGGTCAGTTGCACAAACGTTCATTAAGGTTTAACCACGTCTTTAATCTTTAATGAATGTCAAATTTGTATGGATAATGTCTCTTTAAACTAATGTCAATTTTAATGGGCGTTTGTGCAACTGGCTGTATAAGGTTTATGATGATAATGAATTTCCTCCCACTTGCTATAGTCTAGTAGAAATGGAAAACTAAAAAGGGACGCATTCCATACCGTAAAATATAAAATATTATATACGCGAACGCGAATTCAACTGACTTTCTCATTATGGGACGCGTCAACCCACAAAGCGATCTCATTACCGGCGTTTCACTTTACACTTCCTGCTCATTCGTGTGCAATCTGTAGTGTGCAAATCCGTTAATCTTATTTGGCGGGTAGTCGACTCGCACGTGGCGCCACGTGGCGCGAAATCAAACTAATCTCGATGGCAAACGCGTCAGGGCGAGCTAAGCGCGTGCGCGCAACCGATAACGGCAAGAAAAGCCATCCATTCAGCCTCTTTTGTTGCGAACAATCGCTATTTATTTATGATATTTGCCAGTCAACCTGCCACCCCCGCTAATAAATGTGCAGTTAACTCACTTCACTATGGATAATATAAGCAAGCAGATTTAACAACGACAAAACCTTTCTTAAATTGTATTAAACCATATTCAATACAATAAAATGCAATTCTTTATAATTAAAATACAGGATGCGCGGAGTAGCTACCTGTACAAAGTTCCACCCCCGTTTCCTTTTTTTTTAAGATTTCTTATGAGCCCTATTACAAATATAATTTATTTAATAATTTTCACATATGGGTACAAATGTTGTTCAATAATATTATCGTAGATAGGGGAAATTCATAGTTAACTTCTTATAACTAGTTTCGAAGTCTTTTGATTAATAATAAGAGTTTTTCTTTATTTCATAAATGATATTTCAAAATTTCGGGGCCGCAACGTATTACATGACTTTATGAAGACTTTTCGATTTCAAACTTTAAAAATTTTGAAAATTCTTATGTCAAATTTCAAGAAAACGCTATTGTCGGGTGAAGTTTTCTTTATTAATTAGTATAATTTAACAAATATAGTTTTATTGGGTTCGAGTCCCATCTCAGAGTGCCAGGGACAGAGTGGATTTTTAAAGCATTTTTCATTAAGAATGTCTTTCAGTCCACTTTGTCCCTTGAACATACCTACTTTCATAATAAAAAATAAAATTTCATTAAGAATATTTTTTAGTCCACTTTGTCCCTTGAACATACCTACTTTCATAATAAAAAATAAAATATACATCAAAGATTAAAGTATGCATACCGATTGAACATAGAAAACCCTCCTTTCGGATTTTAAATAAATACGAAATACCATTTTTTGTTTGTTTTTTAGCTGAAATAAACATATGATCTAAATATTTACGTGATATCTGCTAATGATTCGATTTCGATAAAATTGAAATGGGCCTTGGTCCATCAAGGTGGTCTTTGGAACCTTGGTCTATAAAGGTGGACCTTGGTCCAATAAGAATTTAAAAAAAAGCATTAGTTCCCGAAATCAAACTAGATATCGCTACGGTACGTTCTTGATTTCTCCATGACAACCCGTCCGGTTTTCTTTCATGTTTAAAAGTAAATTACTTTTCAAAACTCAATAAGCAACTCATATTTTATTTGTACTTTTTCGTATTTGTTTTGCTAAGTTTCGAACTTTTCAAATTTCAGTTTTTAGTATGTTAGTTAAAAGGAAAGGAAACTACTTTCTTTGCTCCAAAATTAAACCAACTTCCAAAAAAATCATAATAAAAAGAAACGACTGAAAAGAGAGAAATAATACCACATTTTTATCTTCAATAAAACATTCACAAATACTCATTACATACTGGACGTCTTATTATTTGTATATTTGAGCACATGTCTGGCATGGGCTAAAAAGTAAGAAAAGAGCGACAAATCAAAAATTTTTTGAGGTGATTTACGAATATTTTATTTATGTACTTAATAAAATATTCGTAACTCACTTCATAAAAGTCTTTTTCACATAGAATTGATACGGTACCGTTTGGGATATGAAGTTTTTAGTGATGGGGTGATCAAAAATCGATATTATAGAGTAAGAGTTCATTTTTGATAGCGATAATCATTTTTGAAGCCAATTCATTAATGATAATGAAATAATATAAAACAGGATATACAAATTTTTTTAATCATCCAAAAATTTACGATTATTCGCCTAAATGAATATAGCTATATTAATGCTATGCCTTGAAATAAACTTCATTGACATATAAAATGACATCAAAAAATATATGTCTTTTATTAAGTTTTTTAAATCAATATGTAATATATATATAGTCCAGATATAAGGTGTTAAGCAGAAGTTGTAAGATCTCTGTGGTTAAGTTAAACGTAGTTACGTACAATATTCAGTGAACTGGAACTAGTTTTTATCAAGAACAATTTTTATTAATTTTAAACACAAATTGCATGAAATGGATTTATTTTCAAACGTCACCGTACTCAGGCTATTTCAGAATAAAGATGCCTAGTCCTTATTCTGCGTCATGCTATGTGAAATTGACTATAGTGGATTAGAGATCTGTGAATATCAATATAATAACGAAAAAACCGAAGAGAAATTCTTTCAAACAAGGCTACGACTGTAAGACCTGGATCCCTTTATCTGAATTAAAAAAAAAAACACCATCGTCGGCCATCTTTGTTATTGTGTTGGTTGTTGCCAAAGAGTACTTTGTTGTTGCAGTTGTTGACATCTGTCTCGCGTTTTGTAACGTTTGCGAGAATATTTTAATTACCATTTCATCAAACCCATTCCATCGCTTACAAGAATATTCTTTAAAACGGCAAGAAGCAATACATAAAAATATGGTTGAAGACGAATATGCGTGTGTAAATAGAGCACAATTAAAACTCAAAGATAATTCTGGAATCAAAAAGAAGAAGAAAAAGAGGAAAAACAAAGAAACTGAAAAAATTATCGAAGCTGACGTGAAACAACAGATAAAAAAACAACCCCCTATAGATCAAAAAACTAAAGCTGAGAAAGCCTTCCAAAAAATGCAGGAGAAAATGGTAAGAAACTTTACCTTTATTCAGCAATAATTAAATATAAACATTCGCTAAATTGTTCTAAATCATTATACTAATACGTATTGCCTTTTTTATTACAGCAAAAACAAAGAATTCTCCAGAAAGCAGAAATGACTCATAAACAAAGAGTGGAAAAGTTCAATCAACATTTGGACAGTTTAACGGAACACTTTGATATTCCCAAAGTATCCTGGACGAAATAATCACCACACACAACATTCATTCATTCTTTTAATAGTTCTATGTGAAATGTTACTAATAAATAAGATATCATCATTTATTTTGTTTATACTGTTAAGTACATACAGCAGCATGATAAGTTACCATGTAAAATTTCAAAATTAATTTTGAATCTACACTTGTTGCATTACAGTTTAAAATCAAGTGGACAAATAATTTTGTATAGTTTGATGTGAACCTTACTTTTCGATTAAAATAGAAAATTAATTTTAATGGTGTTATACCATTCAAATTTTCATTAGTTTAAAACTATGTTTCCAATACAAATTTGAAAATTTACAGCCAGTTTCACAAACATCCAATAAAATTTTCATTACTTTAAAGCAGGTATGGGCAACCTTGGACATGTGTGCAAATACATTAACGGACTGTGTTTAAAAGTAGTACATTTTAAAGTAGTGTTGTAGTGCTGATAATTTTAAAACTTGCATTGTGGTTTCTTAAACCACATGCTTTTTTTAAGTAAAGTTTTTCCAAATGTCTCACAGGCCAGCTATTGCCCACCATGGCTTTTAAGTGTCATTATCCATACAAATTTGACATTTATTAGAGCTCAAAGGCGAATACCTATATCTATCTTAAGTTTCATTATCATAACATGATTAAAACCTCAGGTTATATATGAAAGTATGTTTTTTAATTGTCACCTAGTGTTTTCTTTTCTTTCTCTCTCTTGTAAAAAATATGGCGAATAAAAACAGTATTACAATAAATAGGCAGTGGTTTTAATTTAATGTAGTGAACACAATGTTTGTGTGACTCAATGTTTATGGGGTAACTAAAACAATGTGTAGTTTTGTTGTGCTTTCATGAACCAAAGCAGCAGCACCAAACATTTCAAATCTGACAAGATTGGTCTGTAATAAGTTATTGTTTATGCTTCAATAAAATTCCTGCTAAGTCTTCAAAGAATTTTATTAAGTAATAAAAATGAACACAAAAAATTATAAAAATAAAAAATACATATAAAATCATCTCTGAGATATACAATTAAATATTGGATGGAATATTAGTGTAATTAATACACAAGCTGTTTAACTTATTTTGTATAAAGCAAGTAATAAAATTATAATAATTATTATTTACAAATGTAATTTTTTTATGTTTATCATCACCTTTCTTAATTTTCTATTACACTTATCCATAAACTTAATTAATGGTACCTATTTAAGCATATTATAAGGCACAAACTTCGACTTACCATATCTAAAAGAGATTGTTATTGTTGATATGTCAACTTTCTATATTTATTGAATTGTTAAGATCTATAAATGTGAGTTATGTGAGTTAAGTAATGTGCACTGAGTGTGTGCATGAGTAAAAATTTTTGTGTGAAACATGTTATTCACTTAAGTAATAATTTAACATCAGCTAATAGTCTAAAGCTAAAGTAAAAAACTAGAATACAAAGAAAGAATTATTTAAAGCAGCAGCCTGAAAACTTTTATTAGTGCTAAGTGTATATTTCAGTCTGTATGTAGTATTTTACATTCCTAATTAAAGTGAGAAAAAGGTCAGTACTGCCAGGATTGTTACATATAGGCTAGTGCCTATCATAACAGAATTGTTGCTTCTCCAGAATGAATAAGAGAATGTGAACACTTTGACGAAATTCTCCTCTGTTGACCAGGGATCACTGCCATCATCGAAATGCATTGGACACTGGTCACGCTCTCTCTCATACTCCTCCATTGCGACAGCAACTGCAGCACCCTCTGTGTAGTTCCATGATGTGACGTCCTGATTTAAGTCACAGTAGGGTCCCAATGCTTGAGACATTAAAATTCTGAAAAAAAACATGACAGAAAAGAGGTTACAATATTGTTTTTTTCCAAGAGAGCTTTCTAAATAAAATAGTAGTTAGTATACAAATTCAGTATTAGTAGCAATTCGGTTGGTTAAATTAGATTAAATTTATTTATAGTGCCTATCAAATGTGTTTTCAATTGTGAATATAACAGGCAACTTATTTTAATATACATAAGTATAATTATTTTCTTTGATTATTTATGACTATGGAATAACCTTAAAAACAGAAATTATTTTTTAGTTTTGTTTATTATGAGTGGTACAACAAAATTGGCACAATATGCACACACTATATGGTAAGCTACATCTAAAGGTAATATTTATTACAAATAATATTTTGATAAAAGAAATTGGGCCTTCAAATGTTAAACTTAACTATAGACTGTTCAAAGGGCAGGTGAATAAGCATTAAGTAAGGTTAGTAGGTTCTAATTTTCTGCACTTAGATGCTTTAATTGGTCCATTGTGCATATAGTAGCTTGGTGGCATAGTTGATAAGCCGCATCCCACAATCATTGTTGCTACGCTAGGTTCAGTCACGGATGGGTGACAATCACTACATTTTTTTTTTCACCTACCTTAGAAAGTGAGTATTGCAAAGTGTATAATTGCATTGAGTAAGCAGAAAGCGTTATCTATAGATATAGACAAATGTGATAACAAAACAACACACCTATTTAAATCAGCTCTTTGATATACCCAACATCTATACTTTGAATATGGATCCAATTCATCATATGTAATGAGGTAGGATTTCAGATTCTCTTTCCAATATCCAATGCATTTCATCCTATAATCAGGGTCACTGTATATGTCTACAGGCCTTCCTAAGTGATCTACTGTCAAACAGTAATTTTCCTTAATTTGTATAGTTTTCTGATCAGTGTCACAAACAGAGAAATCACTGATGTTTAGTTTGCAATATAGGTTGGGACGAGGACTCAATGTGACGCCGCCAAGAATTCTTGTTTCAAATCTTACATCTCCCTTTTGGGTGAAATTAAATTTCCCAGCAACAGGGCAACGGATTGGCGATGGATCCTTTTTCAAGAATATGTCGTAACGCCATTTCTGCTTATTGGGAAACTGTACCCAAGAACAAACTGTGTGAAAGTCACTCTGAATCATAGCGAGACCCTTACGAAATCTGAAACATTGAGTTTATATATTAATACAGTATATTATACAGTACTTTTGACAAGCATGCTATCATCAGCACCTGCACCCAATATCATAAGTAATAATAACAATAACTCGAGTGTTACCTGATAACATTATGATGTTGTGGAACGAAGTTGAAACATATGTAATCTTTTTGACAACCATCAACAGTAAGCCTTGACATCATTACTCGGCTATCCCTTTGTTCTCTAGAAATTAATACAACAACATTATGAAATAAAAGTTAATCAATCGTTTGTTCTATTATAATCTTTTACAATAAATATGACAACACTGGTGATACCAACTACAAATTGATTAATCACTGAATTGATTTATCTAAATACATACTATGTTTACATAATAGCAATACTGAATAGTCCGAACACTATATATTAACCCTAAATAGTTTATAAAAGTTCAAAACCAAACCTTACCTGCAAACATATATAATTCTCCTATACCTAGCTTCATCTGGGTAATATGTCTCTATTATATGTGTTTCATTAATGAAAACATCAGCATCAATATTAGCAGTATTAATCCATTCTCCTGAGAAGTTTTGAGGGAGTCGACAGCCAGGTTCAACAAATTCAGCCTATTACATTAAAATGTAAGTTCTATAAAAATTATTTTGATTAACTAGTCATCAAATAGGGATGACGACTGGGTAAAAAAGTGCTACAAAGTGGGGAATCGCTACGTCACAGTTTAGTAGAAAACGTACCATAATGTGACGTCATGCGAAATTTCAACTCCATGTAATGCTGTGTTTTATATTAATTTACACTCTACCTGACAGACAAACAAACAAAAATTAGGCATCATCCCTATTATAGCAAAATAATAAGCAATACCTTAACAGGAGTAATTCTGTATCTTTCTGGAGATTTCTCAACAGTTTTCAGAGTGTTACATTGTGCTGTAATTGAAGCTCCAATGTATAAATCATCATCTCTGTTCTTCAAGAAGCAGCGGTATTTTTCATCCTTGCGAGATTCTTTTGTATTTGCCACAGCAAAGAAATGATTTTTGTCCACAAACCAATGACCTAGAAATGTTAATTTCTTTAGATAAAAACAAAAATATAATATTGCAAACAAAAACATATTTTTTACTTAACATACCTAGACAGCTAAACTCTACTACTCCATCAAAAGTTTCAGACATCCCTGGACACTTTCTATAGGTGATATTAAATTTCTGATTTGTAATTAAAAATTGTGTACCAGCAGTCTGACATGATTTTATCTGGTTATCTGGATGGTTGCATTCTCCAGTAAATCTGAACCGGTTTTGGTATGCAAACTGCCATACTCCTTCTAATGAAGACCGACAATTAACCTGTATAAGAAACAAATTTTAATAGTTCTTAACATTATTACCTTACAGTTAGTTTTTACTTGACTTGGCATATTTATACAGTACACCTACTTATTTATACAGATGAAAATTATAAAAAAAATAAATGACATTTTTAACAAAATCACTGAAAACTTTGGCTGTTCCCAAACATAAAGGCTTCTCAGAGAATATGAAGCAAATTTAGGTCAGAGCTACCATTAAATGCTACCCTATATCATCACTCTAGATCTATTAATGTCAGTCAGTCAGAGGAAACTTAGCATGGCAGTATCATTTTGATGCAATCATTTTGATATTTAAAGGTCTCAACATATTTCATAAGTAGTATCACCATTGTCATTAAATAAATCATATTTCAAATCCAAATATTCTATCTTCAATACTGTAAGAATACTGTTATTCATTTTGACATAACCAAGACATTTCATATAAAACAAATGCAGTTAGGTAATACACTTACCGGAACATAATTCTCTGAAAATAATGTAACAAGATGTTGATCAGGATTTAGTCCTCTACACACTCTTTCAACTGTTGGTTCCTCGTGAGGGGCAAGATCAACACAAGGCGTTTCAATCTTCTCCAGAACATTGACAGTTCGTACGATAAGTTTAACACAATAGTAACAGTTTGTATAGTGAAATACCATAGTGTAATTCACATGGTAATCGGCTTTAATATTTACACATCGCCCCCTAAAAAAGATATTATTTTAGTTGAAATGCACGATATCGTGGAACGGTGCTTATGTAGATCAAAACTATATATATATATATATATATATATATATATATATATATATATATATATATATATATACCTTCCAGTCATATCACTTGCGTTAATATCGGTGATGGTTTGTTTTCCATTTTCATAAGAAAACCAAGTATTCCGCAACACTACAGGTATTGTACATTCAGTAGTTATTTCTGAAAATTACAAAATACACCTTGTATAGCAACAAATAACAAGTTTACGTTAATATTAGGGCGTTTCCATTTAGCGGTTAGAAATTACGAAAAATAATGCACACCTTTACAGATAATTAGTACCAATAGTACAACTATTCTATTAAAACTGTTCATTGTTTTTTATATATAAACGGAGCAACTAAATATCATGAGGACGATCATTCACTAAATTTAAATATAAATACAGCCGTGCATCGCAAGTTCAAAACCAAACACAGACCCAACAATACCAACAACACCAAAGAGCAACGAGCAGAAGAGCCTATGTAAAGTAAAGAATAAAGCGCCGATTTCACTACCCAATCTATCAGGCACGATCCATCGGGTACACTGTAAATTGAGAAGTCTAATCGCTGTTAGAGAGTTTCCTGATATCGGGTGATCGTGAGCGCCCGACCGCCCGATCTCACTAGTTAGTGCGTTAGGGCCGATTTATTGGGCAATGTGATCGCTGTTAAGGTGTTAGAGCGCTCAGTCGGTTGTTGCGCAGCGTGCGTGTGAGACGGCAGTGGACGACAACGAAATTTGCTAACAGAGAAAAATGTTTTCTCCAAAGGAGAAATTAATAATATTAAATGAAATTTATTTTATTTTATTTATTTTTCTCTAGCCTTATATAATGTTTAAACATTTATAGATAGCATTGCATGTGTCTGGTACAATTTGTGATAGCAGGGGTTCTGATATCAATGATTTATACTTTAAGTCATGATATACATTTCCCGTTGCTAAAAATCTTAGAGTTACAGCTAACCGTTGTTTAGCGCTTACACTAGTTCTATATAGCGTATATTGTTTTTTTTTATATAAGATATGACTAAGTTTAATATATGATCAAATTGTACAGAACTCATTCTGAAGTAGTTCAAACTGCATAATTTGTCTCTTAGAAGCAAATATTTTTTCATCAAACTGAGTTTGGGAGGTGATCTAGGGCAGTGTAATCACAACGATGCCAACCCCCCTAAATCGAGGTCGATAAATCGTGCCCGATAGATTGGGTAGTGAAATCGGTGCTTAAGGAACAAGAATATATTGGTTTAATATGGAAGTATTTAAAAAAAACGAAAGCACTAAAACTTAAAGGTAGAACTTAATAAAAAGCTTTTACAAACAACCAAAACTTAAAGATTCCATTTATTGACAACATCAAGAAGAACAGAGTAAAAAAAAAACAATTTAAACACCAAGTTGTCATTAATAAAACTATAAATTAAACAAGAAGGTTTTCAACGTAAAGGAGTTTACTCCATTATCTTCTCTCGTTGGAAACCTTTTGCAAACCAATAAGTTTATTCAGCTTATCAAATCTTGGTCGAGGTAAAGGTTTTGTCAGTATGTCGGCTAATTGCGATTCTGCTGACACTTTGTCGACCACCAAGTCTCCTTCTAGAACCAGTTCTCTGACAAAGAAATGTCTTAGACGGATATGTTTGGTTCGGCGATGAAATTCCGGATTCTCGGCTAATCTCAAAGCAGCTTCGTTATCAACTTGTAGTACTGGTACATGCTGCAGTTCGACTAAACCGCTAAACAATCTGGTTAGCCAGACACACTCTCTCGCAGCTTCACTGGCTGCCACAATCTCAGCCTCCGTTGTTGAGATGGCAACACTGGTTTGTCTTCGACTTAACCATGAGACTGGTCCACCAGCATATAGACATAACACTCCTGTCGTTGATCTTCCAGTACTTATATCGCCGCCATGGTCTGCATCACTGTAACACTCTATAATGCCTTTTTTATAATCCCTTTTATAAAATATACCCATGTCCACAGTGTATTGCAAGTATCGCAGAATTCTCTTTAACTTCACGACATCAACTTGAGTTGGTTTCTCCAAATTTCTGGAAATTACACTCACTGCATAGGCAATGTCTGGTCTACTTCCGACCATTAGATAAGCTAGATTTCCAACTATTTGTCTATAACACTCAAGAAAATAATCATCCTTCTTTTCATTTATTTGTGGAACACTATCTTTTATTATTGGAGTTGATACAGGCTTTGAATCCTGCATACCGAATCTATGTAAGATTTTCTTAGTGTATGATGCCTGATGAATTAACAAACCATCTTCTCTGTTTATAATCTCAATACCGAGAAAATAACTGGCTGGTTTTGTGGTTATTTTAAAATTCTCTTGTAGTTGCACCAAAAAACTATCAATCAACGATTGACTAGTAGCAGCAACAAGTCCATCGTCCACATACAAGGCAACTATTATTTTTCCGTCACCTGACTGCTTTTTAAACAGGCAAGGATCTGCTTCACTAATTTGGAAACCAATTTCTTTAAAGAAATGTAGAATTGTGGTGTTCCAACATCTCGGAGCTTGTTTTAAGCCATAGAGACTTTTTTTTAACAAACAAACTCTACCTGAACCGTCATCATACCCTTCAGGTTGTTTCATGTATATGGTCTCATGTGATAAAGAACCATACAGGAAAGCCGTAGAGACATCAAATTGGCACATTTTTAATCCTTCGCTTGCTGCAATACTGACAACTGATCTGACTGTTGCCATTTTTGCGACAGGGCTAAAGGTTTGATCGTAATCTTCGCCTCTCTTTTGACGAAACCCTTTGGCTACAAGTCTAGCTTTATATTTGTCTACAGTACCGTCAGCATTCAGCTTAATTTTATAAACCCACTTACATGGAATTGCTTTTCTGTCTTTTGGTAAGTTTTCAAGCACCCACGTTTCGTTTTGTTTTAACGACTCAATTTCACTGATCATTGCCTCCTTCCATAATTCTTTATCGGAACAAAAAATGGCCTCTTTGTAACAGGTTGGTTCGATATTCATGACAAAATCTTCGAATCGTTTAGGTCGTTTTAGGACAGTACGATCTCTTAGTATCCTGTCCGATTGTTCATTCACCAATCTTTCCACAGTGTCATCAGTTTCGTTATTCGAAATTGCGTCATAAAAGTCACCATCCTCATTATCAACAGAATTTCTCACATCAGGTACAGTATCAACTATTTCGTGATTATTCACAACTGAGCTTTCTTTTCTACTTTCAGGTTCAATATGAACAATTCTTTGATTATCATCCACTGAAGTTTCTTCTCTGGTTTCAGACTTCTTGCGTATCTGAATTTCTGTCTCATCCTCTGTCATCAAGGATTTTTTCTTCTTATCTTTGACTTCAGACATAATTGATTTCTCATCAAACGTTACATCTCTTGATCTTACTACAGAATTAGTTTCTTTATGCCATAGTCTGTACCCATCGTCATTATCGTAACCTATTAACAGGCACTTCTTGGCTTTTTTATGTAATTTCTTCCTGTTTTCTTTAGGAACATAAACATAGCCCACTGATCCTATAATCCTCAAATGTTTGATCCGAGGTCTCTTCCCTAACCAAATTTCAAACGGTGATTTGTTTTGCTCTGTAGTTGGTCCTGTTCTATTTAAAATATATACAGCTGTATAAACCAACTCAGCCCACAATGACTCGGGAAAACCTTCGCATGCGTGCATCATCGTTCGAGCCATTTCGACAATTGTACGATTATCTCTTTCACAGCACCCGTTTTGCTCAGGGGTATATGGACATGTAAGTCTATGTTTAATACCCTCTTTCTTTAAAGTGTCTTCAAAATTTTTATTAATGAATTCACCTCCATTATCAGTCAATAATTCCTTGACAATGCGACCATGAGTCTTGGTTAAAGCAAGCATTTCCTTTAACTTCTCTGGAACTTCAGATTTCTGCTTTAAGAAATAAATGAAGCGAAATTTCGAATAGTCATCTTTAAAGAGTAGAAAATATCTGTGTTTAGATAGAGAAGGCGGAAATGGACCACAAACATCAGCATGTAATATTTCACCTGGCGATTTTGCCCTTATTCTGATGCCAAACTGTCGCCGATGTGCTTTACCGAATATACAACCTTCACACTCTCCCGTATCTTTAAGTTTGATGTCTAATTCTCTCTCGACCAGACTTTTCACATATCTTTTATCTTGATGACCCATTCGTTCATGGTACAGCTGCAATGTATCCACAGCAGTCACAGAAGCATTTGCTTTAGATTGCACCGCTGAGCATTTCAGCTTATAAAGTCCACCAAATATCTGTCTACGTCCTGCCACAACAACCTTCCTGTTAATTTCCATTGTGCATGACGTGACCTTTGACTGAAATAGACTGTCGGGATTCTTATCGTGTGCCGCTAACACCGAAAATAAATTTCTAGCTATACTTGGTACAAACCAAACATCTCTTAGAAAAAATTCTTCACCATTCGCTTTCATTCTTATTGTGCCTTTTCCTACAGCTTCAACTACGTCACCATTCGCTGTGGTAACAGTGTGGCGTTGATCAAAGTGTATGAAATCATAAAACAAGTCTTCACGCATCGTAACATGGTGAGTAGCCCCGTTGTCTACGTACCAAGATTCACGATCCAGACTACACTCTACAAGGCTGCTAAAGATATTCATATTGGTACTCGTAGTGCCTTCAGCTGAACTGGTGCTACTATAAACTTTTTCTTTCTTCTGAGGACAGTCCTTTCTAATGTGACCTACTTTCTTACAAATGTAGCATCTGACTTTACATCCTCCGTTTGGTTCTTTCTTGGCGCGTGCCGATGCTTTCGGTTTCACTGTGAGAGCTTCGCCAGATTTCCTGAATTCACCATCTAGGTTATTCCTCAATGCCCTTTCGTGAGAGCATAGCTGGCTAGTGATGTTTTCAACAGTACGATCCTTTTTGGACATCAACAACCAACTCGACTTGAATGAAAAATATTCTTCAGGCAAAGTATCTAGAATTTTGCATATCAACAAAAAATCTGGTAGTTTAGTTTCGTCATTCCTTGCTAGTTCTAAATGTAACTTATGCCAAATATTTTTAATCTTGGAGATGTGAGTAGATATATTTTCAGTATCCATCTTTTTATATTGGAAAAAATCCATACAGGTTTCGTACAATTTATCATCTGTTGACCCATCAAATATTCTATGTAATTCGTCCCATACATCCTTCGGGTTTGTAAATCGAATCACTTTCTCGAGCGTCTCATCAGAAATATTATTTGTTATCAAGAGCAAGGCAGTACTTTCTAGTGTACAGTACTCCTTAAGACGTTTTTCATATAGTGCATGAGCAGCCACTACATCAACGTCACCACCAGCAGCGGTTGTTTGTTCAGGCTTCTGTACTTTACCCACAACAATATCCATAATGCCGTCCATG